TTTTTTTTTTTTTTTTTTTTTTAACGATATAGATTCTCATTGTCACTAAGTTACACAGGTTGGGCTTGAACTTGTGATCTTCCTACTTTAGTCTTTAGAATGCTGGGGTTACAAACTTCTACTTTCATACCAAGCTCCAATGAATTTTTTAAACTCTCCAAGTCAGTGCCTCAACCACATCCTTCATTTATTGCAGGACAGAACAGAAACGTGTCCCTCTGCACCTCAGCCCATCTACAGCCCCTATATCATGGTGGCAATTCCTAGTCAGGCCCATAGCCATGGCCCGTGTGGGTCTCCTAAGGCTGTCACTTCTTTTCTTCCTTCTATCTTAACAAGGAAATGACTGACCCACGTGTAGCACGTATCTATTTATCAACAGATCATAAGCCCAGTCTTCTGAGATCTTGTGACAGGTCCCATTAGCTGTGAGCTACCCAATAATGTGTATAATCAGTTGTTAATGGCAATATGCTCCACTGTGATAACCGGGCCATTAGTGAGAGTCATTGCTACCTAAACACAGGCAGCCCTCCACCTGGCTGACATCTGGCTCAGGAGCTGCAAGTTTCCATTTCTTGTGGGTCCCCCAGGTGAGAGGTAAAGCACCTTCCAAAATTACTCATTTCCAGTGTGTCCCTTTACAGTTGCAGTTTAGGATGTCTCATGGAAACTTGGGCTATAAGTGAAATCGCTATGCCATTTGAAAAAATAACCTGAGAACAAAGACAAAGATCCATGACCCTCTGATCCTCAGTGCACCTTCAGTCACAGCAAGATACTGGACCCTTAGGGAACAGTCCTAAAATTTCAAGACCCCTTCTAAAAGCAGATATTTTCAATGCCACTCCACATATGAATCTCTTAAAGGGGGCAGCCTTTGCTAGCTTTTGTGGCTATGGAAAAACTTCAACAATATTGACTAAAGTCCCTCTCTCTCTCTATCTCCCTCACCCCTTCTCTTCTTCCCTCCCTCTCTCTCTCTGTCTCTCCGACACTTACACATATTTTGTTTCAAATAAAAAAGTGTCCACCAACAAGTTTTGGGTTAAATTACCTATGTTTATGCAACCTCCTCTGTGTCCTTTATATACATGTCCTTGTAATCGTAATAAAAAAAAAAAGAAAAGAAAAAAAAACTAGGAGCAAAGAGCTCCAGAATCTTCAAGCAAAAGGTAAATGTGCAAAATGCCACTTAGGGAATTTTCCCTTCATAGTCACTGGAAATCTGTGCCCATCACCCAAACAGAAACTTCTAACCTTATCAGCCCAAATCCAGACTCTTCAGAAGGGTTCCCTAACTTAGACCTTCATAGGTCAGAATTTGATTTATTTGAGAAAGGAAAGCTTCACTGAACCTAGATATCTGTCAACTGAATCCAGCCAATGCTCAGTTGATTTACATCTATACTTTGTCTCAGTACTGCCTATCAAAGGCCCTCAAGTTTTTACTGCTGCCACCATAAAAAGGAAATTTAGCACTAAGGACTTGCCTAGGGTCATTGCATATTGTTGGAGAGATATAAAGAAAAAGATGTTTGTAAACTACAGGGAGAAAAGACTAGGCTCCACTTATACTCTTCTTCCAGTTCTGGCTGCCAAGAAACTGGGGCCCAGGTCTTTTCTTTCTAGAAAAGACACTTCTACAGAACTGTAAAGGAAACAGCAGTATTTTCAGCCCTTGTAAAGGAGGTGGATTTCTAACCCAGCTTAAAGTCGTAGGAGACTGACAAGAACCCTGGTCCAAATTCACCTGAAGGTAAAAGAACTAAATTTCACAAAATGGCAGGGGTGCAACAGAAACGCCAAACTTCTTATTACGAATGACCTAAAACATCCAAATACCCAGAGTATCTGGTAATCAGAATCCTTCACACTGGGAGGAGGATCTAAAACACAGTCAAAGCATTAGGCTATACCACCTCCAATGGCAGCCAGACATTCTAGCCCAAGCGTCCAGTGGTCAAATGGTAGCAAAAATGAGGATATGGAGGATTATTAGTCCCAAGGTGCTGATTCAGTAATTCATTCACTGATTAGAGAAAAAAATGCACTGGGTTCCTAGGACTTGCCATGCACTGTGCTGAGAATGCACAGATGAACCAATGGGAACATGGCTTTTCTGCTCCCGGACTTTGTAGAATAAAGAGCCCCTCCTGGTTTAAAAAGTCAGCCAAGGACTGGATCTTCTTAGGTAGGGAAGGTCTGAGCTATCTTGAAATAAGACTCTATTATCAGTGCCTCCGGATGATCCTAGCTGGCTATGCACTCCCACACCCTGAGTCTGCCTGGATCTGCTTATTCATCAATGCACTCATTCGTTCATTCATTCATTCACTGCATTCATTTAGTCAATGAATATAGACTGTTGTGTATATCTAAACAGCATACTGAGATATAATGCCAAGCAAAAGAAAACATAATTCTACCTTTATAGAGCTTGTTAACCAATTATTCACAAGTATATGAGTAATTTCAACTGTGTAAGTATCACAAAAGAAATTCACTGAGCTCAATGAGGGCCTAAAATAGGAGAGAGGAAGGATTGTCCTGATTGATCTCTGACTGAGAGAGTAAGAAGATGCTCAGCAGATAAAAGCAGGAGAGGAGAGTGATCCAGGCAGAGGCAACTGCAGTCAGAAAGGTTGGGTGCAGTGTGGAAAGTAGCAGGGACTGAAGGAAGGCCAAAGGTGCTAGAGAGCCTGGCAGAAGTCAGAGCTGGAGAAGAATATGCTGGAGTTTGACCATGTGCCTTAAGGAATTCTAACTTTTCCTAAGATACATGTAAAACTTCTGCAGGATGACACACGATCACATTGTTTTATTAAGTCCATCTGGCTGGAGAATTGATTTTTTTAAAAAAGGAAGCAAGCAGCAAGAAAGTAGTTAGAGGTCTTTGAAAGTCCTAGCAAAAGATAATTTAGTTTAGTGAAGGATAATACTGGAGGTAGAAATGGGAGGGGTGGATTCATTCAGAGGTGAAAACAAAAAGATTTTGATTGGATACCTGGAGACAAAATGGCCTGGAGGTTTTGGTTTATATTCCTAGACAGCAGTTGGCCAGACCTCAGTGTGTCTTTTGGTCTTGGTCTGTGTCCCCTATCACACCTCCACTTGCCTGGCCTTTTCCAATCTATCTGTACTCAATTATTACCTCCAACCACCAATGAACTGGTCAGTTATCAACATGACCCACTGAGATAAGTGTCCTGGTGATGCTTCTCAGTGATTTAGCTGGCTTCAAGCACCATGATGGCTGCACACCTCTTGCTCAGGTCCTGTGAGTACCCCTCATCCCCACCTCTCAACTCGGCTCAAATGCAACCAATGGGGTAGGGTTTCCAGTTCAAGTTGCTGTATAGCTGGCCCCTTGGGCTATCACAGGAGCAAGATGCACCTTTATGACTATTTGCAGAGCCTCCTGCTTGATAGATAATATTATGCCTTCAGGTGGGCACCACACAAAAAAAGAGTCACCTTTCAGTTCATCTTTCAGTTCAGAGGAATCAATAAGGATGCTATTCATTGGACTACTGTTTACTGAACACAAAATTATATACTATGCATAGTTTAAACTTTTTGAACTTCACCATAGTGTCATGAGGAAAAATATTACCATTATAGGTGGAGAAGGAGAAGCACAAAAAAATTAAGTAATTAGAACAAGGTAACACAGTTAAGTAATTAACACAGGGTAACACATAGTGGTAAAAATGGAATTCAAGTAGAATAACCTGATTCTAGAGCTCGTTGTCTGAATCATTACCCTCTGGTGCCTGGGACAGACTCATATCTGCCTTGCTTGAAATCTCATGCTACAATCAGATGTTTTCAAGTTCACAAGACTGGTGACAAACTTAAACTCCTCTTTGTCCAGCCAAATTACCACTATTACATAATAGAAATCATCCCATTATGCCAAGAAACAAAGCCTTCACTCTTCAGAATCAAAAGTCAAGAAGTATTCATTTATAATAAATTTCTACTGTCCTCATTTATGAGCCTATGTATTTTTTTTTAATCTTCATCTTTGGGAAACGAGGCTCCAGTAATGATATGATACACATCTGTGTGTCCTTCACATTGAATACCTGTTGCTCATTTTCACTTGGCTTATTTACTGATCCCTCCTTGCTCTCACCTATTATTTTTCACATTTCTAGGTTGTTACTAAATATATTTCTTTTCTCTCTATCATGGAATTCATTGGTATTAACCTGTTGTCTCCTTTTGGAAAACATGCATTTTTTTTTAAGGAAGAAATATACTACTCTGAACAAGAGGACAGATGCCTTCACTTGCAAGGGACCATAGTATTGATTATGCCCAAAGCAGGCTGTAAGCAGTGCAGGCTGTTAAGAGTTAACCCACAATTGGCTTGTTTTGAGAAGTGAGTCAGGCCAAAGCCTATATGCTGAGGTCAGAGTAAATCACACCCAAATTCTGTTCCCACAATTAAAACCTTCCTAACTAGAAGGACAA